CTAGTTCTAGAGTTTCCTGCCGGAAGCCCTGCCCACAACTTTCGAAGCCAGAATAGGGCTGCCCTGCCAAAATAGGAGGAGCTGGCGGAAGCGCGCATGGCCCAGGCGGTAGCCTGGTGGGTCTTGAGAGCCGCGGATTTTGCCCTCTTGTCCTCCATCTTAAGCCCTTCCAGCAATTCCACGGGAAGGGAAGAGGGGGAGGTGAGGGACATGATAGGGTCATCCATCTGGGGGAGCTTCAGGAGCTCCTCCAGTGGGGCCTCCATAGTGTACAGCTTCCTGTCCATCCCACTGGGATTGGCCATTGTCCCCGGCTGGGCCCATTGCCATTGGATAATATCTAGGAATAACTGAGGGGCCAGAACCAGGTCCAGGGGTGGAGGCACCTCATTAAAAAGGCCTGCACCGGGATCCTGGGGCCCTATGGTCATGCCCGGCCTGGTCAGATGGAGGTTTGGCCTCGGGGGCCAGAAGACCCATCTGGGGCCCCATTGTCCGGGCCTTGGTGAGAATGGCCCTAAATATGGTGGGGTTAAACAGGCCTGAGCTGGTGGCCTGCTCAGGGGCGGGGTTCTCATAATCAGAGATGCCCTATGAGGATTGGGGCAGAACCCAAAATCCTCACTGCCTGGGCCTAAGGGAGATTCCCCTCACTGGGAGTCACTTCTGGGAGACCCATCCCCAATCTCACTTGGGGAGGGCCCCACTGGATTCTTGCAATGCGCGGCCTGGGCCTTCTGGAATTGTTTCTCCAGGGCCTTCTGGTGGTGCAGCACCATTTTTTCCTAAGCCTTAGAGGCCATCCCCACCTTTGGCTGATTCTTCCTTTGGGAAGCATCCACCCCAACTCCCTTGGCCAATGGATTGGGCCTACTACGTTTGCTGGGAGTGGGCCCGGTCTTTTCCCCTTGCCTCTCTTCCACGCTGTGATGAGGGCTGAGCTGCCTCTCCATTGTGGCAGCGAAGTAAACCAGGCCTGAGGTGAGACAGAGCCTGATCCACGCGCTGGGCCTTTGAAGAGCGCTGAGGTCTAGCCGGCTGAGGTGAACAGCCCCACGCCCGCAGATCTGTGCTGATGGCAGGTAGAAAGGCTGGTCAGGCCTAGAATCCCTGCAGCCACTTGAGGAGAGAAGGAGGGCAAGAGCCTGCCTGGTCACCCAGCACGAGGCTCCGGGCTTATGGCGGCCCTCCGCGGCGATCTGCTGGGTTAGACAGGCTGCGCGGCAAAGGCTGGAGCCCAGGAACGAAAGCGTGCCAAATTAGGAGTTTTAAAATGGCAGCCATTCGCGTGCGCACCTGGAGCGTCATCGGGTTTCACAGAGCCTAACGCTCCTGTTAGGGGAATCCTGACTACCTGGCTGCCCTCCTAGTACTCACAAATAGCTGCCCGGGCGCCCCCCCCCCACCGACTCCACGATCTGCCCAAGGCAATGCCTGGGCTGTCAGCGCTCCAGGGAGCCTGTCTGTGCGATGCAAAGGCAGACGGAGCTAACAGAAGACTAGAACTGTAAACGAAGCTATCTGCAACCTAAGCTAAATTTTCTAAAACAAGGTAAAATAAGGGAGCTACAACTATGCTAGAATTTTGGGGTCCAGCTTGCTGCACAAGGACTGGAGCCCCAGAATAGACGTCCTGTAGGGCGACTGAGTTTTTTGAAACTAAGCCTCTGAGGCAACCAAGAGGTGGAGCTACAATCAATTTTAAAACTCAGTTCCTTGGGCAGCAAGCTGAAGTTAACCCGTGCTTGGACACGCCAAGCAGCGCCTAGGAGAAAACTGAAATATCACATTAACATAACTATTCAGACCCTTCACAGAGAACTTTGTTGAAGCACCTTTGGCAGCAATTACAGCCTTGTCTTTTTGGATATGATGCGACAAGCTTTGCACACCTGGATTGGGGGATTTTCTGCCATACTTTCTTGCAAATCCTCTCAAGCTGTCAGGTTGGATGGTGATCATCGGTAGACAGGCATTTTCAGGTCCCTCCAGAGATGTTCAATAGGGTTCAAGTCAGGACTCTGTCTGGGCCACTCCAGGACATTCACAGAGTTGTTCCTAAGCCATTCCTGTGTTGTGTTGTGTTGTGTTGTCTTGGCTGTGTGCTTGGGATCATTGTCATGTTGGAAAATGAACCTTTGGCCCAGTCTAAGATCCTGAACATTGTGGAATAGGTTTTTATTGAGGATATCCCTGTACTTTGCTCCATTCAGCTTTCCCTCAATCGTGACCAGTCTCCCAGTCTCTGCTGCTGAACAACACCCCCACAGCATAATGCTGCCCCCACCATGCTTCAATGTTGGGAGGATATTAGGTAAGTGATGAGTGGTGCCTGGTTTTCTCCAGACATGATGTTTATAATTGAGGCCAAACTTGGTTCATCAGACCAGAGAATCTTGTTTCTCAGTCTGAGGGGTCCTTCAGGGGCTTTTTTTGCAAATTCCAAGTGGGCTTTCGTGAGTTTAGAATTGAGGAAAGGCTTCTGTCTAGCCATCTGCCATAAAGCCCAGATCTGTGGAGGTCTGCAGGGATGATTGCCCTTCTGAAACTCTTGTCTCACCTCCATACAGGATCTCTAGAGCTCAGCCAAAGTGACCATTGGGTTCTTGGTCACCTGTCTTATTAAGGCTCTTCTTCTCCAATTGCTCAGTTTGACTGGGTGACTAGTTCTTGGAAGAGTCCTGGTTGTGCTAAACTTTTTCCATTTGAGAATTATGGAGGCCACTGGGCTTTTAGGAATCTTCAGTGCAGCAGAAATTTTATTGTAGCATTCCCCAGATCTGTGCCATGAAATAATCCTGTCTCTGAACTCTGCAGGCAGTTTCTTTGACCTCATGGCTTTTGCTCTGCTATAGTATGCATTATCAGTTGTGAGGCCTTCTACAGTGTGTGTGTGCCTCTCCAAATCATGTCCAATCAATTTAATTTACCTTAGGTTGACTCCAATCAAGGTGTAGAAACCTGTCCGTGAGGATCAAGAGAAATGGGAGGCACCTGAGTTAAATTTCAAGTGTTGTTGCAAAGCATCTGAATACTAGTACCAATGTAATATTTTAGTTTTTTCTTTTTAATAAATTTACAGACATTTCTAAAATTCTGTTTTCACTTTGTCATTATGGGTTACAAAGTATAGATTAATGAGAAAAAAATGACAACTGTGGAATTAGGCTGAATACACACACACACACACACACACACACAGTCAGTCAGTCAGTCAGTCAGATTATTTATTGTTCTGCATGTTACTTTCCCTTTCCATACAGCTAAAATAACCTTGTAATAAAAATGATATTTTTGTCTTTATTTTCCTTTTCAAAAAGAGTCTTAAAAAAGCAAGATTTTTATAACTTGAAATATTTGACCAGCAATATTACACGTTGTTCAATTATATATTAGAATGCTTTTGAAAAATCTGTACATTGTTGCAGTAATCCTAATCAATATCTAGGCAGAAATCAAGAAAATCTATTAATGAATTTTGTAAATTAATATTTGGGTCAGAAACAACATCTGGGATCAATTTTAAGAATGCTAGTGGTGTGGAACCTGTCTTCCCTTTCACTAATTATTAAGCATAATGTGATATCAATATAGTATTTGCCAATATAGTATTTGCATTTTTGTTTGAATTGTTTTGTCCAATACAATATTCAACAGTGTGGCATATCTCCAATTTCTAACATTTTTGTCATGACTTTCACTAGCTTATTTGTGCAAATATTTATATCTTTGTTCTTCAGAAGATTTAAAAACAAGAAGCATTATTCTAATTCAATCCCATATATGTTTATCAAGAAGTTAATTTTGCTAGCAGGGCTTACTTCCATGCAAATAGTCTGGGATTCATTACTTTGCTTATCAGCCAAAAAGTATCTGCACTCCAGCTCCAAGCTAGAAATAGAAAATTAATCTAGCAAAAAAAAAAGCAACAACAGTTTATTAATTAAAACATGCTGATGCTCTTGGTCTTTCGGTTATTAACTGAATAGAAAGTACATGGTAGACAGGTTGCCAGCTTTAAAAAAAGTTAGTTACATAATTGCATTACTATTTTTGACAGTTTCAGAATCAGTATCAGATAAGTATCAGATAAGTATCAGAATAGAAAAAGAATAAAAGGAGTAAGTGGTTTTAAGTATTCAGCAGATGGGTGAACAGAGAAGGATGCGAAATTCTACATCCATCAGTCAATATCTAATGTTCTTTGTTGTTCATCTTTTGTAGAGTAGGGGATGGATTTTTTTTCTGCTCTGCCCTGTAACTTCCTTGACAATGCCCAGTCTATTTTCTTGTGTAATGCAAACACTTTTGTATTTAAAAAGCAGAACAAAAACATCACCAGCATTAGAAGTAGGTTACTATCTGATTTCAAACTAAACACACGCCGCATTCAACCTTGCGTTGATGCTGTTCACAATTTACAAAGGAGACAGCAGTTTTAAGTTGCAACGACACTCGACAATCAAAGCTACACATTTTTAACAGCATCACGACATTGCTTAGACTGCTTAGACTGAGTTGACCTTTGAAAGATGCGGTTCAATCGGACACCCGGTTAAAAGCATCTTCCAAATACAGTCTTCCAAAAAGCCATCAGTCTCTCCCGACAACACATAGTAACCACCTACTGCAAATGAATCAATTATCCCCCCTCGTTTTTCTTTCTTCTATATTTTTAAAACCAAGAGCTGCCCAAACGATACTTCGGGGAACAGGGGAGGCGAAAAGCAAGAAGGGGAAAACTGCGAGAGCGCCACGACGAAACCAGCAGAGTCCCCCCACTCTTGTCTCTCGAAACCTTCAACGTCTTTCTGGACCGCACAGTAGAGAAATATAGAATTGCCCCGATCAAAGCTAGGAACCGGGACGGGAGCAAAGGGTGAAGAATACACGAACGGAGATCCCTCTCCGGTCTATTTCCCGAGCCCTAAAGGAAAAGCCTCGGGGATGACAGAGAGAGGACAGAGAGGCATGAAGTGCCAAAGGGAGATGTCACTCACCGACTCCGTATTTTTCGTGCTCTGTAGGAATCCACATGAGTGCGCCTTTTGGTCCCTTTTTTTGCAAACAATAAAGCTGCAGATGCTCTCCAGCTCAAAAAACAGCAGCAGCTGCTGCCATTCCCAACAACTCCCTCCTCTTAATACAGCCGCGATTGCTTTTGCGCGGTGCTCAGCTCCGCTCCGCAGCCTTCGGGGGCGAAGTCATTGTTCGGATTGACTAAACCCAGCTCGAGCTCTGGGACAGTTACGGCGAGCTCCGTCTCCGCCCCTCTGCATGCTGGGAAACGGAGTATTTCTCTCGCCAGCCACCACCACCCCGAAAGACACGCCTACGTTTCTTGCGGCTTTCCTTCGCGGAGCCCGCTGGTGAACCAAAAGACGCCCGCTCCCGACATGCTTTGCGCTAGGGAAGGAGGAGGAGTTGGGGAAAGGGAGACGCCTTTCCGTTTCCTGTTGGAATAAGGGCCAATCCAAGGCTGGAAGGCGGCGCTTTGGGGAGAAGTCGCCGAGCCTGCGTTACGGCCTGACGGGATGGCTTGTTCGCGGGACTGGGCGGCGGAGGGGAGAAAGGGTAAGTCTGATCTCCTTTCCCCACCATTCCGGGGAAGAAGCTGCCGAAGTTGGAGGAGAGGCTTAAAGGCTTGCAAGAGAATCTGGTTCCTTTCCCGCGTGGCAGCGAGGTCCTTCAATGCAGTGGTCTCCAACCTTGGCCACTTTAAGACTTGTGGACTTCAACTCCCAGAGTTCCTCAGGCAGCTGGCTGAGGAGGAACTCTGGGAGTTGAAGTCCACAGTCTTAAAGTGGCCAAGGTTGGAGACCACTGCAGTTCAATGTATATGTAACTTCGTAAAAATGGCCCCTTAATAGAAGGAATCGGGTTTTTTGGTTTTTGGGTTTTTTTTTTGTTATTAAAGGGCAGCATTTGGCATTTTTGGGAGGAAGGACAGTCTTGAAAGCGACTTGAAATGAATCCTTGAGTAAAAACTTCCCACGCTTCGCTATTCCTGTCGATCATTAATACAACGCCAAATGTAGCCTTTTCAGACTGGTGCCTCGGCATCCATATATTTAGAGTCCATAAAAGAGATAAGAAAGGTATTAATAACTTTGTTTAATAATGATGGAAACATGGGAAAAGATTTGGGTAAGAAATGTAAAATTTATGCAAGCTTAAAACTTGAGAGAGAATTTTTATAAGATGTTTTATAGATGGTATTTAGATCCTAAAAAGTTAGCTTGTATGTATCCGAATTTATAATTGGAGATGTGATTGTGTCGATGCTATGTATTATCATGTATGGTGGATTTGTAAAAAAAGCTAAAGCATTTTGGATAAAAATATGG